TGCTGGCACGGGGGAATCGTGCAGTGTGGATAATGTGAACTCGGGGCCTCGGCTGCCCGCTCCTCTGACAGGGGACCTCGAAACGCAAGTTCTGCCACATTTTTGCCCATTGTGTTTCCGCCGGGGCCTACGTCAGCCTGTGCTTCTTCACCCCCCATTTAAGGCGGAGACCAGCGTGGTGTGCCTTGCCTGCAGAGAGTGTGCGGTGCAGTGGCTCAGCATGAAAGCCTCGAATGATGCAGGTTCACTGCTGCAGTGCCCACAGTGCACCTTGCCGATTACAAGATGTGGTGCACTAATTCCTTTTGTTTCTGCAGCTGGCGACGGTGAGAGGAAGGTGACAATAGCGAACTGCACTGGAACTGACGACCCAAACGACACGGGTGACAATGCCACAACAGAGCAGCAAGCTTTGTGTGGTATTTGTGAAGAAGCTGATGCAAAGAACTACTGCGTGCCATGTGGATTCCCTCTCTGTGAATCATGCCAGCAGTCCTCGCACCAACGGGGTCGGTATCGGGCACACGAGGTTGTCCCTCTACGCACGGCACACAGGCGAGGACCCAGAATGTGCGTTGAGCACGCAACTATGCCACTTGACCTGTACTGCTTTAGTTGCTCCTCCTGTGTGTGTCTCACGTGCTGCTTTGGTGGAAGCCACAAGGGCCACGAAGTACAAACACTAGATGATGTTGCAGAGAAGATGCGTATGCAAATGAAGGGGGAAATGAAAACTTTGCAACAGCTGGCGGACACTACCCGGGATGCATCCATTAAATTAAGGAAGCAACTGCCTGGGCATGAGCGGGCTTTTGCACTGGTGAAGGATAAGGTAGAACGGTGCTTTGGAAATTTGCGAAAAGCCCTAGAGGAACGCGAGCGGGAGTTACTGCAGCAATTATCGGATCACACGTGCCAGGTGAAGAGCGATATCATACAGCGCGCGACCCAGTCTGAGGCGGTACATGACGCAGTTCGAAGCAACGTGTTGCGCCTGGAGGAATTCCTCGCGTCGACGGAGGCTGCAGACACAGTGCGATTTAATGAGGTGGTGACGAGGAGCATTAACGCTTTGGAAACGGTTTCGACACATGTGGTCACCGAGAGCAGTGGTGCACTCCGCGCAATAGAAGAGCGTCTTACCCGTCACGACGGTGTTGCTTCCTTCGCTGGTGACAAAGAGGAGGATCTCGTGCGGGCTGTGAGAAGATTTGGCTGTTTGCAGCTTCCTGAGGCGTTGTGCGGTGCTCCTCCGCCCGCTGACGGAGCACAAGTAGCCAGCATGTGCATTGCTGAAGCAACAGCTCCATTCGCTGCTTCGCAGGAATACATGAGGGAGACTTGCCCTGAGGAGAGGGGACAACGACATATGCATCAGACGTTTGAAACACTCCTTTGTGGTGCTCATGTTCGCAACAGCGAGGCTTCGACGAGCACACGACCGGGTCTCAAACTGAGTTGGAACGACCCACGCAGTAGCGATGATTTCATGAGGGCAACAGTGCCGTCGCTCCTGTTGGCCCCGGCGAGTTCTCGCGTTTCGACTGCTTCTCCTGCGATGGACACGTCCACCTCCATTGGCGTGGAGCCGCACCTGGCGCTAAAGTGGAAGCGCCTCCGCAGCAGCGAGGCCAATGACGAGAAGATGGGAGAGAAAAAAATGTCGCCTTTAAAGAAGCATAGAACGGTAACGCATCTGCCACCAGCACTGGGTATGCTTAGAGATCCTTTCCTGTCGAATCACCCGGTGAAGGGAGATGGTGACACCGTGGAGGTCGGAGTCGTGGATAGCGGTGCTTCCCCTGCGGCGATGGTGAAGGAGGGAGACAAGACGTTGTCAAACGGCAGTAGCGCCAAAGGTTCAACACTCCAGCTAAAGTTGCGTCTTTAGATTAATGCGGCGTCGTCGTTCTTTTTCTCCCTGTTTTTTTTTTTCTCTTGTAGAGACATACAAGAAGACTGTATATTTTTTTAGATTGTTGTTTATCGCACCATCGCTTGTTGTTTTCTTCTTCACTTGAGACGTGGTGTGTGTGTGTGTGTGGCACAACAAGATGCGGCGCGTCACTCTTGTTTGCTGTGTGCTATTACATTACGTTGAGTACTGTAAGTACTTGGGTTCTGTCGCCTTTAAATGTTCACGTTATGGTGGGGGGTGAGGAACAACATACATATATATATATATATATA